GCTGCTATCCCTGGGGTCACAAAGATTCAGACATGACTGAGTGACTGAACAACAACAAGCATGACACACAAGTTCATGTTCTATGCTTTTTACACAAAAATAAACTCAAAATGGCTTATAGACTTAAACATAAGACATAACACTATAAAACTCCTAGAAGAGATCACAGGAAAAACATTTTCTGACAAACTGTTCCAATGTTTTCTTAGATCAGTCTCCCAAGGCAACAGAAACAAAAACAAATAGGACTTAATCAAACTCACAAGCTTTTGGATAGCAAAGGAAACCATAAGGAAAACAAAGAACAAAATAACCTATGGAATGGGAGGAAATGTTTGCAAACAATGCAACCAAGAAGGGCTTAATTTCCAAAATATCCCAACAACTCACAGAATAACAAAAAAAGCAAACAACCCAACTGAAAAATGGAAAGGAGACTTCCCTGGTCCAGTTGCAGGCTGTGCTCCCAATTCAGGGAAACTGGGTTCGATCCCTAGTCAGGGAACTAGGTCCCACATGCTGCAATCAAGCTTTCATGACACAACTGAAAGATCCTTCATGCCAGAACAAAGATGGAAGGTCCTGTCTATCACAACTAAGACCCAGCGCAGCCAGATAAATAAGTATTAAGGAGGAAAAAAGAAAAACGGGCAGAAGACCTAAACAGACATTTCTTCAAAGAAGAAATACAGATGACCAGCAGGTTCTTGAAAAGATGTTCAACATCACTAATTATTAGAGAAAGGCAAGTCAAAACTACAATAAGGTACCAGCACCCACTAGTCAGAATGGTCATCATTAAAGAGTCAACAAGTAAAAAATGCTGGGCAGGGTATGAAGAAAGGGAACTCTCCTATGGCTGCTGGTGAGGATGTAAGCTGGGGTAGCCACTGTGGGAAACTGTATGGGAGATTCTCTGAAAACTAAAAATAGAATTACTATATATCCAGCAGTTCCACTTCCAGGCATAGATCTGGACAAATCTCTAATTCAACAAGCGGCAGGCACCCCTGTGTCCACAGCAGCACCAGGCACAGTAACCAAGACATGGAAACAAGCTGGATGTCTATTTACAGGTGGAGGGATACGGAAGTGCGGGCCATAGATGATGGAATATTACTCAGCCACGAAAGAGAGCAAAGTAATGCCATCTGCAGCAACATGGATGGAACTAGAGATGATCATACTGAGTGAGTCAGAAAGAGAGACAAATACCCTATGATATCACATATCTGCAGAATCTAAGATATGACACAAATGAACCGATCTATGAAACAGCAACAGTATCACGGACATAGAGAAAAGATTGGTGGTTGTGAAGGGGGAGGGTATTGGGGGGAGGGATGGAGTAGGAGTTTGGGATTAGCAGATGCCAACTGGTGTGTGTGTGTGTGTGTGTGTGTGTGTGTGTAAAATGGATAAATAACAAGGTCCTACTGTGTAGTACAGAGAACTATATTCAATATCCTATGATAAAGCACAATGGAAAAGAATATATAAAAAGGAATATATCTATAACAGAATCACTTCGCTGTACAGCAGTAATTAATATAACACTGTAAATCAACTGCACTTTAATTAAAAAAAGATCACACCTACCTGACAGGCTAACGTGAGTGCCGACTGAGGCAGGTCACGCAGAGGCTGTCCTGGGGCTTGGTGCACAGGAGGTCCTGCCACCTGGAGGTGTGTCTTAAAGCACTGCTGTTGAGTCCTGGCTACCTTCCTCCTCTGAGATGCTTTAGCAAGAGAAGCCTTTTCCTAGCACAGCGTCAAGGAAGAGAATTTCAGGAAAAGGCAGATCCTGGGCCCAGGAGGTGGTGGAGCAGGACTCAGAGTGGCAGAGGGTTCTGGGAACCCCTGGGCCCCTGGAAAAGCTGGTGGGGAAATAGCTTCTAAATGAAATGTGGTGGTGTAAAAAATGTCAGTTTTGGTGAGAGCAAGAAAGAAACAAAGACTGTTTGGCAAACACTCCACACCCTCCTTCTTAAAACAACCAAAAAAGGAAAAAAAAAAATCAGTAATTTTAAATTCAAAGAATGCTAGGAATCACTCTATAACATTAAAGGTGGTCTGTCCCTGGGCCTTTTGTATTTATAAATTTTTAAATATAACTGCAACATGTGGAGAATTCTAAACATTATTTGAACTATTCAGAAAGACAACTGAAGGGACTTCCTCAGTGATACAGACTTGAAACTGAAAAAAACCCCAGAACTGATCCTTCTCACCCTTTTGTCAAAATTAGTGACACTCAATCTACCGTCTGAAACAGACTGGTGTTTGCTCTTCAACCTCCTCCTAAGCACAGGTTTCATGTAGAACTGGAGAGAAAAACTCTAATATCACATAGCAAAATTACTCTGAATTTATTCCAAAAATGTATTTGTATAATAATGCCTCAATTAATATTCTCATTCCAATCCTTCCTGACTTTCTTAAACACACACACACAGACCATTTATTGTTTCAGAATACACAGTACTCTATACAGAAGCAGAATCACGGCACTCAGGAATGCAGGCTCTTGAGACTATCTCAGCTTAGTCACGAGTGTGTGCCTTGAGCAAGTCACAGAACCTCTTTGAGCCCCTGTAAAATGGGATCAGTGACAGTTCCTTCCCAACTATCACTGTGTGCAGATGAAATGAGTTAATATCTGTGGGGTTCTAAGAATAGTGCAAGGTGCACAATAAGCACTTGGAAAGTGTTACCTATGGTTGATACACATTTCATTTACACACTACAGAATTCTATATAGGTACAGATGTATAGAGCTACACTGATGTTTCTGACAGCTGGCTGGATTCTACTTCATTGGTGTACTATGGTTTACTTGCCCTATCCCCAGCTGTTGGAATTTTGGAATTGTCTTTACTCTTTTTAAAGCAATCCTCTGATAAGTTCCTAAGAGGGATCACTGGGTCACGAGTTAGGTACATCTCAATCTTTCAGTGCATGTGGTCCAATGTGGCCTCTGAAGATTTGAGTCCACTGAAACTCTCACCAACAGAACGAGAATATTCTTTCCCTACCTCTCTGCCAACACTGGGAATGAGAAATGAAGGCATGTATAAAGTTGGTAGCTTTAGGCAGGCCCTCATCCCTCCCCCCAAAAACAGAGCAGGAAGTACCTTCAGGACATGGCCTGTGGATACCTGAGCTCCGGACTGTGCAGGTGTGAGCTGTAGGCGTGCAGGTGTCCCCATGATCCAGAGAGTGCAGGGCAGGCGGCAGGAAACAGGACTGGGCTTACTTAGGAGCTGGCATCCTCCAGGATCCTGGAATCAGAGAAGGCCTGCCACTTAGTGAGTCAGAAGCTAGAGCTGGCCATCGTGACAAAAGATTCACCACATGTCTGATAGGAGGTTTGAGTTTGGGTGGCACGTACCCCAGGGAGCTCTTTTTAGGGCTAGCAGGGGACAGAATGTTTGTGAAGTGTCTGGAGCTTGGTGATGTGACATGGTCTCCCCGACAGAGGGTGCACCAACCAAGACTGATCCCCAGCTGGTCCAAGTGGATCTGTCTACTCCGGGCACCCTCTTTCTCCCCAGTAAATGCCCCTGGCCTGCTCCAGGATTCCCTTCTGTCCTGCTGCAGGCCACATCAGACCATAGTGCTCTCCTGGACATCCAGACTCAGAGGCCCAGTTCATCTAGCACATGCTAGGTGCTGGGGAGACACGGATGTGTACCCTCCAGACCTTCATCCTTTCCAAAACTGTTCCCAGTGAGTCTGTCTCTTCCCGATGTTTGCTTTCTCTGAATCCCATGGGTATTTGTTCCCATCCTATCTTTTCTATTCTCACATCTGATGACAGACCATCATGTCCAGGACAGAGGAGCCTGGCATGCTGCTGTCCATGGGGTCACAAAAAGAGCTGGACACAACTCAGATACTAAACAACAACCATACAGGTAAGCTCTTTGGGGGCAGTTTCCTATAGAGGAGGGGACAACATTCCACACCTCAACAAGCATGGAGAAATCTACAAATGAAAAGTATCCAGAAAGGGCCTTGGCTAGAGAAAGTAAAGGAAACTCAAGAGTTACCGACCTAGGCATAGCATGCAACCAACTCCAATCTTCATAGCAATTCTGTGTAGAAAATGTCACTACCTCCGTTTTGTAGGTAAAGAAATGGAAAGGCAAAGAGAGGTGAAAATTTTCTGAAACCACCAGACTTGTCTGACTTCAGAACAGGAGTGGGAAGGCTGGAGTTGGTATTGTCACTAAATTGCAATAGTCCCATGGGTGGCTCTCAGGTGCAGTGCTCCCGCGAGCAGCTCTGCCCAGGAAGGAAATGGAATTGCACCCTGAAGAGGCTGGCTGGGCTGATCATGTGAAACAGCACAGGAGAAGTTTTCAGAGACATGGCTACAATCGACACCAACACTGACCCCTGCTATTAGTACTAGTCATTACTGTGAAGGAAGTATTGTACCATGAATATCTGCAGACCCAAGGATTTCCTTTTATTGGACACATATTACAGACTTAATGAATAATGCTTGTGAGTAGGGCTGTGTAGAAGGAAAGCAGGGCAAAAAAAAAAAAAAGTATGTCGGGATAAACAGGATTAAATAAACCAGAAACTCTTTTCTTTTATATGCAAATTTGAGAATAACTCACTGGACTTTGTCAGTGGAGGACAAGACCCAAAGTAAGACTGGAGATGAGTTTCTGGAAAGAGACTAGTGGGAGACTGCTGCTAAATCTGGAGGTTATTTATTAGGCAGGATTAGATTGCTAATACATGGTGTGAAGTATAAATCAAAGAAGTTTTTGCATATGGATGTCCAATGAATTGTTTTAGCACCGATTGTTGAAAAGACTATGCATTTTCCACTGAATTGCCTTTGTACCATTGTGGAAAATCAACTGGTCATACTGGTGCATAGGTCTATTTCTGTATAGTCTGTTATAATGATCTAGTTACCTGTCTTAACACCAGTCCCACAGTGTCTTGATTACTGTTCAGTTCAGTTCAGTCACTCAGTCGTGTCCGACTCTTTGCAACCCCATGAATCGCAGCACGCCAGGCCTCCCTGTCCATCACCAACTTCCGGAGTTTACTCAAACTCATGCCCATCGAGTCGGTGATGCCATCCAGCCATCTCATCCTGTGTCGTACCCTTCTCCTCCTGTCCCCAATCCCTCCCAGCATCAGCTTTATCTTAAAGCCTTGAAGTCAGGTAGTATGGGCTTTTCAAGTGTTTTTTTCCAAAGTTGTTTTGGCTAGTCTAGGTCTTCTGCATTTCCATATGAGTTTTACTCTCTGTCAGTTTCTCCCTGTGGGTTGTTGGGATTCTGACTGACATTGCACTGAATAGATGGGGCTTCCCCGGTAGCTCAGTGGTAAAAAATCTGCCTGAAGTGCAGAAGCCACAGCAAACATGGGTTTGATCCCTGGGTGGGGAAGATCCTCTGGAGTATGGTGGAGTACGGCAACCCGCTCCAGTACTCTTGCCTGGAGAATGCTACGGACAGAGGAGCCTGGTGGGCTACAGTCGACAGGGTGGAAAGAGTCAGAGACAGCTGAAATGTCTTAGCATGCACGCACACACTGAATGGACAGATCGTCAAGGAGAAAACCAAGACCCATGGTTGATTATCAGGCCAGCTTGGAGCTGGTGAGACTAGGTGAGTTCCATGCAGCTGCTGCTTCTGTCTTCTTCAGTTGGGAAGGTAATAGGTAAAAACTTTCATGGAATTCTGAACAGAATATTATAAGAAACATTAATTTGTGCCCAAGGGCCATAAAACTGATGTAATTTGAATGCAATAAAATATAAATAAATGGCGAATAGTTCTTGGGGGTTTTCTCTTAATTTTTCAACACATACTTTTGAGTTTTAACATACAGCATTTACAGCATTCACCTTCCTGAATTGGGGTGGGAGGGGGGTTGAGAAATAATTAGTAGGCAATTTTTTGGCCCTGGGACTTTTCTTGTAAATGTTTTCTTTGGCAGCCATACTCTTGAGAACAGGAAGTTACTCTCTTGTTACAGATTTAAGACTTTTCTGAGCCAAATAACAGAAAGCTGGATTAGTTCTGAAATGAAGGGGGAGAAAAAACAACTCTTGGCTCTTGCTGGAGATTAATGACATCTTGCAAATATTTTAATTCTCCCCTTTCCTCTTAACTTGCCACCTCCTAAACAAAGCACATTCAGCCTGAAAAATCTTAACTGGTCATTTTGTGGTCCAACCCTAAAATAAAATATCTTTATGGTACCCACAAATTTATTTAAACAAAACTGTTGATGGCCTGGGGGAAGGAAATAAATGCTGTCTCAAGTTGACCTATTCTATCACAAAGTCCCAAAATAGAATTTAAAATAGAAAATGTAGTTGTAAAGATGCTACAGTATCATAAAGATTTATCATTTTCTTTGACCCTTTAAAATGCATGTTGCTATAGATAAAAATGATAAATCAAGCTTTGTAAACAAAGCCTATATATTGTTAGAGATGCTTGCAAACAACTTCTTAGCAATTGTTCAAAATAACAGGATTATATCCTTTGACTATAGCATTTATTAGTCTGACTAAAAAACAAGCAAACTGGTTTGCCCCAGAAAAGACTAAGTTCTTTTGAATTAATATCCACTTTTTACATTTGGTTCTAGGGGAAAAAAAAAAAAAACACCCAACAACTTGCAATGTCAATGAAGTTTACAACCAGTGGGGACAGTAACTACAAAATCAGGGGTCTTAATTCCCTGACCAGGGACTGAACCTGTATGCCCTGCAGTGGAAGCGCAGAGTCCTAACCACTGAACTAACAAGGAATTTCCTGTAGGAATTCTTAAAACACAGATGATCTTTAGGAAAACAGATTTAGAAGTGAAGAACACCTTCCTATAACAAGTGATCTCTAGGAAGTGATCTACTAGTGATCTAGGGAGTTTCCATGGTATTACAGTCATCCCTCAGTATCAAAAGTTGGGGAACTGGTTCCAGGCTCTCTGTTCCCACAGATACCAAAATCCACACATGCTCAAGCCCTTATATAAAATGGTGTAGTATTTGCATAAACTTATCCTCTCATATAATTAAATCATCAAGATTATTTATAATACCTAATATAATGTAAATGCTTTTTAAATAGTTGCCAGTACACAAGCAAATTCATGTTTTGCTTTTTTGGAACTTTCCAGGATTTTTTTTCCTTTTTCTTTTTCTGAGTATTTTGGTTCCATGGTGGTGGTGGTTTAATCGCTTAGTTGTGTCCGACTTTTTGCGACCCCATGAACTGTAGTCCACCAGGCTCCTCTGTCCATGAGATTTTCCAGGCAAGAATATTGGAGTGGGTTGCCATTTCCTTCCCAGGGGATCTTTCCAATCCAGGGATTGAACCTGTGGCTCCTGCATCTCCTGCACTGCAGGCAGATTCTTTATCACTGAGTCACCAGAGAAGCCCCATTTTGGCTCTGAGGTTTGTTGAATCTGTGGATGTGGAACCCACACATATGGAGGACTGACTGTAACTGCAGCCTCTCAAAAAAGAAAAGGCCTAAAATTTCACTTATACTTATGTTTTCACTTATACTTATGTTTTCACACACCAAACTCAAAAGTCCTGGTGCCCGGGAAGATTGCATCAAGGTGGCAAGGGTCTGTGGTAGGACAATGGGGGTGAGTGACTGGTGGTGAGGAGGTGCAGGGAGGATGCTCACCAGGATCACTAGTACATGTCCATCTTAAAGTCACTCAAATTCATAATTTTGAAAAACTCTGTGCTGTCAAACAAACTCATCTGTAGATTGCATTTATGGTAAGTTGCTTCAGTCATGTCTGACTCTGGGACCCTATGGCTCCTCTGTCCATGGGATTCTCCAGGCAAGACTACTGGAGTGAACTGCCATGCCCTCCTCTAGGGGATCTTCCCGAACTAGGGATCAAACTCGCATCTTTTGTGTCCTACACTGGCGGGCAGGCAGGCAGGTTTTTTACCACTAGTGCCACCTGGGAAGCTCCATCTATAGATGCGATGTGGCCAAAACCCCACAATCTGCAACCTTTTATTTACATTTTCTAATGTTTTTCTTTCTGTGCATTATAAAGAAAAAATTTATTCCTTTAAACCACTTTTTTTCTCTAGTCAGCATGAAGTGATGTTCCTCCCACATCATTCATTATAAGTTTATCTGTCTTCTGCTATTTTGACAACTTCAGGGTTTTTTTTTTAACTTTATAAACAATCTTAAATTACTCAGAGCTGTCATCCATTAGATATAAAAATTAAATTAAGCCCAAGAATTCTAGGTGATGGAA